ATGGCAACTATACATGTGGACCTCACCAGATGGAATACACAGGAATCAAATGGACTATATCTGTGGGAAGAAACCATGGAGAAGCTCAGTATGATCCACCAAAACAAGGCCAGGACAGACTGGAACAGACCATCAGTTAGTTGCTCATGTGCAAGTTCAGGATGAAGCTGAAGAAAAATCTATGAGAGCCAAAATATGACCTTGAGGATGTTTCACCTTCATTTAGAGACCTTCTCAAGAATAGATTGAAGGCATTAGACACTGATGACCAAAAATCAGAGGAGTTGTTGGAAAACATCAACAACACAACGTGTCTATGCCGGGAAACTTGGAAGACAGCTACCTGGCCAGATGATTGCATGAGATCCATATTGTGTCCATTCCAAAGAAAGATGACCCAGTGGAACGCAAAAATCACTGGACAGTATCATTAACATCACATGTAAGTAAAATTTTGTTGAAGATAATTAAAAAATGGTTAATGTTTTTGGCAGGCATTTGCCAGAAATTGAAGTCAGTTTCAGAAGAGAACATGGGATGAGGGATATCACTGCTGGTGTCAAATGAGAATACTAGAAAGATGTTCGCTTGTGTTTTATTGACAATGTGAAGGCATTCATCTGTGTGGGTTATACAAACTATGGGTAGCATTGCAAAAAATGGGTATTTCAGAACACTTAGTTGTGCTCATGAGAAACCTGTACATAAACCAAGAGGCAGTTGTTCGGACAGAACCAGGGGAAGTTGAGTGGTTTAAAATCAGGCAAGGTGTGCGCCAGTGTTGTATTCTTTCACCATACTTATTCAGTGTGTATGCTGAGCAAATAATCCAAGAAACTGGATTATATGAAGAAGAAGATGGCATCAAAATTGGAGAAAGCTTATTAACAACCTGTGATACTAGGCAACACAACCTTACTTGTTGGGAGTGAAGAGTACTTGAAATGCTTTACTGATGAAGATCAAAAGACTACAGCCTGCAGTATGGATTATACTTCAATATAAAGAAAACAAAAATCCTCACTACTGGATCAGTAAATAACATTGTGTTAAATGGAGCAAATTTGTTGCGCAAGACCTCTTTAAAGTGTCCAAGAGCAAAGATTCCATTTTGAAGACTAAAGTGTGCCTGACCTAAGCTCTGATATTTTTGATCTCCTCATGCATGTGAAAGTTGGACAGTGAATAAAGCAGACCATAGAAGAATCGGTGCATTTGAATTACTATATTAGAGAAGAATATTACAAGTACCATGGACTTCCAGAAGAACAAATAGATCTGTCTTAGAAGAAGCATAGTCAGAATGTTCCCCAGAAGCAAGCATGGTGAGACTTCGTCTTTTGTACTTTAGACATGTTGTCAGAAGTGTCCAGTCCCTCTCCTGGAGAAGGACATCATGCTTGTAAAGTAGAGGGTCAGCAAAAAAGTGGAACATCCTCAATGACATGGATTGATGTGGTGGCAACAAGAGTGGCCTTAAACGTAACAATTGTGAGGCTGGTGCAGGACTGGACAGTGTTTGGTTCTGTTGTGAATAGGTTAGCTATGAGTTGAACCTACTCTGCAGCACCTAATAATAACAACAGTGGATCCCAAACAGGACAAATGAAATAAAACCACCATGTAGACACAGCATAGTAAGTGGCAGAACATTGCTGGTGGCCGTGGAGTTGACCTCTAACTCATGGCACCCCACATATTAGAGTAGAACTGCTCCATAGGGATTTCTTGGCTACAGTCTTTATGGCATCAGATCACCAAAGCTTTCTAAAAACACATACTCATATATCTTAAACGAAGCCACCGAGAAAATATCAATCATGGTAATCACAATTAGACAGTAAGCTGTTTCCCCAACTGCAATATTGAGAAGCAAAAAGCAGATAAATGTTTGTGCTATCCTGGAATTCTATTCTCAACAAATTCTCTTTTTAAAATGAGGGCAACACTCCTGGTCCCAGGGATAGGGACATAGCCACAGAGGACTAGAGCGGAGAGTGAAGCATCTGGCTGATATGAAGTCAGGGGAGATGTACAAGAACACCCATTCTTGCAGATAGTACCCATTTGACCTGACTTCAGTGGCTGGATGACCAGAACTCAATAGAGAAAGAAAGAAGATGAAAAAAGAGTAATCCACTACAATTTGATGATCTTGATCTATGATTGTGGATGTAGTAGCTCAAAGGAGGGAACAAATCTTTACAGCGAGGATCATTCCCACCCCCTCGGTACACAGGGTACACAGGGATGGGCAACTTAAACATTGGCTACCCAAAATCGGGAGGCTACAAAGGCAAAAAGTAACTGGCTTACAAACTTTCAAGAGAGAATCTAGATCCAGAGGGCACAGAGGAATGTAGAATCTCTACTGAGTGGTTTCCAACCTTTCTGTACAGGGCGGGTGAAAGGAGATGGAGATAAGACTCTTCTGGTTCAGTAGTAAATGATTGCTACAGGTCTAACTGTGAGTGTTGAAAATGTAAAGGTAGACGTTTTATAACAAAAGGAGGGGAGTGGTCGATATTGCAGTCCAAGAGTGGAGGTCCCTGGGACCATTAAGGGAGAGGAGCAGAGTGCGGGACCCTGTCCAGAGAAGCAGCGATGCCAGAAATAGAGGCAGAGATGATGATGTGGAGCGATGGCGCGGCTGGGGACTCTGGACTCTGGGAGGGAGAGGGTCTGTGTGTTGATGGGGGGGGGGGGGGGCAGGCTTGCAGAGTATACCCTTTGGTTGTTTGATGATGCATGCAGTGGATTGTAATCATTGCAGTGAAGCAAAGTAGGATAGATGAATGTGGGGCTGGTGTTCTCCCATGTAGAAAAAAATTTTTTCTTAATTAGGGCAACATAAAGGTTTTTTATAAAATATGTAAATTCAGGGATGCTATCAGATTTTGTTAAAGATGACAAGATACAAGAAGTTCAATATCTATTCCTTACTAGAAAAAGAAAACTAATAACTATTAATAAGAGATTATTAACTTCATGAGCTTCAGGACCATGTTCACCCTGTAATTATGTTCATAGCAGGCACTCAGTACAAACTTGCATGATTGAGCCCCCTCTGGCATGAGGTGGGCTATCTACCATAAACAGACAAGTGCTGTGGAAATGCAAAATATTTGAGGCATTCCTATTAAACTCTGGAACAAAACAAGGTTGTACAGTGTCGCCACTATTGTCTAATATTGTACTTGAAATTCTACATGAGAAAAAGAAATGAATATTAGAGGAAAGACATTACTAACTTTTTCATTGACGTCATCTGCCTCCTTGTATAGGGCAATGGTTGTTCAGTGGAAAGTCTCTCCTTCCCTATGAGAGACCTGGGCTCGATTTCCAGTGATCGCACCTAAGTGCAGCCACCACTTGTCTATCAGTGGAGGCTTGTGTGGTGCTGTGATGCTGAACTCAGCGTCCAGACGATGAAGAAAGGCCTGGTGCCTGGTAATCTTCCCCAAATCAGCTGACACAGTCCTGTGAATCACAAGAGTGTGATCTCTTGTGCATGGGGTCGCCATGAGTTGGGGGCTGACTTGAATGGCAGCTAATAAGAATAAGAGGAAGACCCCCAATGAGATGGATTGGCCAAGTGGCAGCATCGATGGATTCAAGCGTGGCAACAGTAATGAGGTTGGCCCAGGATCAGGCAGTGTTTCGTTCTGCTGTGCATAGGCCTTTATGAGTCGGTACCAACTCAATGGCACCTAACAATAATAACAATAAGAAGCCTACTTATATAACAGAAAATAATCACCTGAAAAACTACCAGAAATAAAATGCACAGAAATTTGACCCAATAAATATATATTTTATATCAAGGTATTTAACAACAACAACAACAAGTGCTTGGAAGCTATTCATTTTTTTGTTCAGTTTAAAATAGTAAGTATATTCCTTTGGTATTTTATTGTATGTAGACTTGGAGCATCAAGAAGATTCAGGAGGCTCTGCATTCAGGAGTTTTGGGTTGAGTAGTGAAGAGGGTGACTGATTTCATTGTCTCTGTAGGGCATAAAGGAGTAGTTTCCAGTTTTATCTGGGGAGACAAGAGTCAGAAAATGATCCATAGAGGAGGTAATCCCAAACTGAGCCCAAATTTATGACTTTGAGGCCAAATTTTAAAGAAAATGCCCTCAATTCCTTAGTAGTATGAAATATACTATCTGGTGAATTGTGAACTGTCATCCTCAACTGTGTAATTCTCATTGCCATTTTTATAGGTCACAACTAGTGTTAGTAGAGATTTTGAAGGGAATTTTGTCACGTGACAGATTGTTATAAGCTGTAATCAGGTGACTTCTGTTTTGGGGTTAATCATGCTGAATACTTATAGAACCTAAGGAGCTCTGGTAGCGTAGTGGTTACAAATCGGGCTGCGAACCACAAGGTCAGCAGTTCAAAATTATCAGCTGTTCCACAGGAATGAGGCTTTCTGCTCCTGTAAAGATTTACAGCCTCGGAAACCCTGTACAGGGTCACTGTGAGTCAGAACTGACTCCACGGCACATAACCACCACCACCACTTACAGAACCTGTCTTATAAAGAGATGTCTGAAGAATTCTATAATCAGTTCTAATCTGATGATTGGTGTAGTCGTTGAAGATTATTAAAGTCTTCTTATTTTTAACTGGAATTTTAAGCTCTGTTAAACAATATGTTTAATTTGAACACAAGACTTGGCTTGAAATTGATGACTTGGGAGTTTTAAATTTTGCTACCTATTTCTAATTGTAGTTTTCTTAAGTGAGTTTTGCACATGGGGAGTTTTAAATTCTCTTTGGGGGCATAAGGAAGCACCATGAGGTAGTGGTTGCTGCTTGCCTTTATTTTAGATCCTTTATCTGTGGTTCTCACACCTGTCCCTCCTCTTCCAATAAGCATTCCCCCAACCCCAAAATTGTGTCAACCAATGTTGTTTTTGTCTCAGAAGGAAGCTTTACAGGATTCACTTCAAACATCTTATGATTAATTGAAAAAATTCTTTCTTTCCTAGGATTGTAGAAATCTATAGTCGAAGATTACAAGGTACATTTTAAAATTTTTATTTTTTCTTACAGAAAAATATGTTTAGTAGAAAGAGCATTTTTGCTTATCACCAATGCAATATGCCTTATAAAAATTAAAAGCAGGAATATAAAAGTCTTTTATGTTTCTAACCCCCAAATAAGTCAGTTTCATTTGCACATTTCTCCACATTTTTTTTTTTAATGCATGTACCAGAACTCCTGGTGTAGCGCTATAGTATAAAGCACTGGACTGCTAATCACAAGGTTAGTGGTTTCAATCTAGAAGCTCCTCAGAAACCCTATACAGGTCACTATGAGTTGGAACCAACTTGATGGCACTTCACAGCAGCATCACCACCACCACTACTATTTAAAATTCAGTTTTTATTATATTTAAACTCAAATAGGTTTGAATTCTACATAGTGGGTTATACTTTCTTTTTCCCCTACTTTCTTTCTCTTAACAAATCTTTTTTAACTTTTTTTTCCAAACACACAGAACTGCCTCATTTTGATGGGTGTTTAGCATTCCACTGTATACCTCTGTCTTGGTTTGATTTAACCAGTCCTTGTTCTGATAGACATTTGGGGATGCTGTCTGTTTTCATGTTATTTATGATGCCATAGTGAACACTTTTGTGTTTCTTCAAAGACAAGTTGTTTTATTTAGCACAGGCGGTGCTTTATTTAGGTTAAATATCTGGTTTTCAGCATAGCCCCTTAATCCGGTTTCAGGTTACTCATTGGTTTATATGCTATACTTGACCTCTGCGAAGGCGCTTGTCCCCAATATTAGGTTGATTATGTCACACACGTAAGAAACAATTGCTGTTCTAATCTCTTCTCCCAACGGATGCTGAATTCTCTTCAGCTCTACACTGCCCTGCACTTGAATGCTATAGGGTAGGATCTGAGCAGGCTCCTCCTTGTGGCCTATGTACAGACAAAGTAAACTGGTAATAGTGGATCTTTAACATTTCAAATATTTTAGAGACAAAGGAAAAACATAGAAGCCTTTTCAACCTTCTGGCAGTGTGAGAAGGAGACCTGGTAGTGTACTGGTTAAGTGCTTGGCTGCTAAATGGATGGTGGTTTGAACCCACCAGCCGCTTCTCAGAAGAAAGATGTTCCCATGCAATCTGGTCCCATGAAGATTATGGTCTTGGAAACCTTCTGGGAACAGCTCTACTGTGCCCTGTAGGGTTGCTATGAGTCGGAATTGACTTGGTGGCAATAGATTTGGGGATTTTTGGTTTGGTCTGTGTCAGACTTTTACACTGAGCTCTTTGTCACATCTACAGTTCAGGAGCGCCTCACGAAACAAATTGCTGTGGCAATCACAGAAGCCTTGAGGCCCGCTGGAGTTGGAGTGGTGGTTGAAGCAACGTAAGTTGGTGTCTGTTTCCAGTAAAGCTGTCCTGGGGCAGGAGAATGTAGGGCTGCTTGCTTTTTCTAGCAGCGGGAGATGCTCCACACATAAGTCATGCTGTGATTTTTGGTTTCTGGCTCTGAGCTCGATGCCTTACATTTATGGTGTGACTGATGGAAGAACCAGAGAAGGGGGGAGGTGGGGGCGTTGGGAGGGTGGAGGGGCAGGGTAGCATGCATGTGGAAGTGTAGGTAAGGAGTCTTAAGCTTAGGTCTAGAGTTTGCACATTCAGTAGTGCTGTATGTCTTCTGCACTTTATTGTTCCAAGTTGGCTTTTTATAATTTTTTTTCACACATTTAAAAAATAAACTTGAGAAATTTAAGAATTGGCACATATGGCAAGCAAAGACTGTTTTATTAGCTGGGATGAATTATGAGACTTGCACATGTCCTGTGGGCAAAGTTTTCATCCATTCTACTGTGTGGCATGCGCTCTGTCCTGGGTGTGTTACCTGACTTCAGAGGTTGTTGAGGCTCAGTGTGGTCACTGTTACAGAGATTCTGCCTGGTGAGGTCTCTGGCATACAGGAGTATTTATCTAAACACCTAACCTCACATCTTACTGGCCTTCAAAGTGTTTAAGAGAAGGTTCTTTAATGTAGAAATTGTTTACCTCTGTAGTTGCTTAGTTATTTTCACGTAGGATGAAAATTCCATTTTTTCCCCTTCTGCTTGATGCACTAAATACTTGACCACTAAAAAGAATTGGACAAAGAAACATTTGGATCAAGTCTATCGAAGAAGTGACATTTTGACACATTTGGTTAACTGAGAAATGAAATGAATGGGGCTGGTTTTTTATTTTAAAATCAAACTAGCAACTGTCTCCTCCTTCAATCACCTTTGTTGCCTTGTTTTATAGACACATGTGTATGGTGATGCGAGGGGTACAGAAAATGAACAGCAAAACGGTGACCAGTACGATGCTGGGTGTGTTCCGGGAAGACCCCAAAACTCGGGAAGAGTTTCTAACTCTCATTAGGAGCTGAACTGTGGTGCGTGCCTTGTGCTGTGCAGACCGTCCTTCCAGTGGCATTGTTTGTCTGGCCTCCATTGCTTGTACATTCCATTTTAATTGTTACAGATGTGAACTTTATTCCTCGTCAGTAATTGTGTTTAATAATTATTTATAGCAAGTCAATAAAAGTAATTTATCAAGGGGTAAGTCTTATGAATTTATTCTTGCCACCTTTCAGTGGCGACGTTAAGTGAACTGCAATAGTGTTGAGTTCCACGTACAAATCCACTACCATTCAGATAACCGAGGATGCTGGGAAGGGAGAAGAATTCATGTATTTGATTGAAATACTCTCACGATTTGAAAGATAGGCAGATGAGTATCAGGAGTGGGCGAGAGCTCTAGAAAATACACTGTGTTTTCCTTCCCAAACAAAAAATGTTGTAGTGTTGAGAGGGCTTAAAATACTTGATGTACAGTGTGCAGCATTGTGTTGTGGGTTCAAGTCCAACTGGCTCCACTCTGTCATGTTTACTAAGTCACCAGTGATGCTTTAAAAAAAAAAAAAAGTTTTATTTTTTAAATACCAAGTTGTAATGTTAGTCACTAGTGGAAAGTGGTCGTATAGCTGTACTTCGGATTTTACTGTGAGTTAAAAAAGCACATTCCTACCTTCTATTCTTTCTTAGCTCAAGCACAGGAAATTAGTTCCTGGAGTTGTTTACGGTGTATTCTCATGTCAACATACAGGGTTTTAGATATTTAACTCTCTGTGCCTTGATGAGACTGTCACTGCATTTAGAGTGTAGATACCTTGATACCTTTGTCTTTCTGTAAAAGAGATTATTTTATAAGACTTGGTTAGTATTGACATTGCAAATACCAAGTCCTCATGGTTTTACCTGCAGAATTTCTTTCGTCTTTTACTTTATATGTTTCATGTAGATGCCTTAAAACTTTTTGTTTTTTAATCATAATCAAATATTTTTCTAAGTGTTTCCAGAAATCCCCTAGGGTGTCTATCATTTTTAGGTCTACTGAGCTATAGTTTTCAGGATCATGAGAGAATGCAGAATGAACTAATTGTGGACTGTATTTTTGAGCGTTGTCCTTTATTCTATGAAAGTTATCTTGCTGGTGTTGGTGAAAAGGTACCAGAAAGCCTATGGTAACTGGTTTTCCCTGTGATCCCTGTGGGTTGGTCTTTATTGTATAGGTGATGTAGACATTTCAGTTCAGGAAGCTATTGCCTTATTAATGATTATGATATTTGTAAGATTTGCTTCACTGGAGCAGTGTGGGCCAAAGTAAAACAAAACAGAACAATCCCTGCAAAAATACCACCAGTTTATTGCATAGGGAAGTATCTTATTTGGTTGATGTAGTCTTCTTCACATTTATCCCATTACCTTTAAAAAATGGATTTAAGTTTAGAAGTTCTCTAAGTATTACCTTTGTCATGTTGATGCCATTTGGCTCATGATGGGGCAAGATGGAAGAAGTGTTTTGGGTTTTAATGTTTTCCTACTTCTAATACTTTCTAATCTTTTCTGTATTTGGAATTTGTAGAGTGTTGATTGATTTTGAATTCCTTTTGAAATCTAATTTCAATATTATCCTATATAATGTTTTGATATTAGAGGTTAAATTTTGAGCATTCAACTCATGTTTGATATTATAAGTAAAAACAGGTATGACTTAGAGGACCAAAGAAATTGTTAGCTATAAATTTATTTTTCTGAAATAATTTGTATTCCTTTTTAATGATTCTTTCTTCGGACATTCCCTAGAAGTCTTCTCATAAAGAGATCTAATATATTCGCACGCAGTCTGTTGTCTTCTTGGTAACACAAAGTAATTATCCTATCTATTTTACTGTGGTCTGTAGTACTTAAAAATTGCCTTTTCATACCCATGGGCTTGAGTTATTTTTTTGGAGGGGGGGGGGATTTTTAAATATTTGATGTATTTAAATGCATTGTTCAATGAAATTGTTTGAATTGTATGTGTGGGTATGACTGTTCTGAAGTTTGTTTAAATTATTAAAGTGCTATCACTTTGTTCTTGTGAAGGTCTTTTCTTTTTGAGCCACCAATGTACTCATCTCAATTAATCCCAATTATCTTAATTTGATCCTGTGTGTGTGTGTGTGTGTGTGTGTGTATGAAGATAGCAATCATAAGACTACTCACAGCCATCAAGCTATTAGAATATACAACCCAATATCCATACAGATCAGTTTAGGACTCTGACAGTTTCTCTGGTGTGGTCTGGATGACGTGGAAGAGTGAGGAAGCTGAGTGACCCTGTATCCCTGCTTGCTCTGCTTGCCTGCAGCCGCTGGGGTACAGGTAATATTTTTTTCTGTGGGAGCTGCTGGGGAAGGAGGAGTGCACTGGGTCAGGGAGTGGACAAGGGCTTCTCCCTCTAAAGAAGAGATGTGCATAGCAAAACTCTCAAGTAAGTGCACTGGGCTTTGCTGTCTCTTCTCTCGTGTGCTATTATTAGTGACTCATCCTTCTCTCTGCAGAGTGATCTTCACCTCTCTTCAAGGTGAAAGTGTGCACTAGTCAGCATGTCTGTGTGCTAGGCCACTGGAATGACCTGCTGTTCCTTGTGGATTGTTGTTGTTGTTAAATACCATGGAGTCGGTTCCGACTCATAGTGACCCTACAAAGGGTTTCTGAGGCTGTAAATCTTTACGGGAGCAGACTGCCTCATCTTTCTCCAGCGGAACTGCTGGTAGTTTCAAACTGCCGACTTTGAGGTTAGCAGCCAGATTTGTAACCACTATGCTACCAGAGATAAATCCAATCACCCAAACAAGGGATGCTTACCAGCATAAGCCAATCCTAAAACCAGTATTCTTAGATTTCAATAAGACAGTGACTTGCTCAGCTAAACTCAAGCTGCTACTTCTGGGCTTTCATATTTAATTTTAATTGATTTTTGTTTTGTTATTTAGTGGAAGAGCAGTTGAAAAGAACAAATGTTGTAAATGGGGCTTTCCATCAACATAGAACACCTATTCACTATGATGGGCTTGGATGAGTTCAGCCTGCTCACTCTTAAACCATATTTCCCCATCATCTCAGGTATTACACCCAGAAGAGTAGTAGCTGACAGCTCCAACCTCCCTGAGACACTTGCTTTATTTTTTATTTTTGTTTTTGAAAAATAATGCATGCACAATAGTAGCATAGTAGATCCTCATAAATTCACCACCCAGCTTCAAAATTCCAAACTCATGGCCATCTGGTTTCCTCTCTTCCATCTCCACTGGATTATTTTGAAGTAAATCGAAGATGTCATTTTACCCATGATGATTTCAGATCATAAAAAAGAAGGGGCCTTAATGTTTAAAAGCAACCAAATGACATTATCATGCATACAAAAATAACTCTGAGGACACATATTGCATGAAACCATTATTATAAAAGCTTAAAAAA